GCAAGTCATGTCAACTGTATCAAAAGCTTTACTAAGTCAATGAAGATCCCCATGGACTTCATTTTTCTCTATTGCAGTGTATATATGTTCTAGCATGTGTATAATAGCATCATTAGTATTTTTATTAGGCCTGAATCCAAATTGGCAGGGGTTGAGTAATGTTTTGGGAGATAAGTAGGAGTAGATTCGTTTATGAATTAAATTTTTCGAAGATTTTTGAGAGGGGGTGTAAGTTGGATATTGGCCAAATAGTTATTCAACTCTGTTTGGTCTCCTCCTTTGTGGATCGGGGTGACCCTTGCTATTTTGAGTACTGTAGGGAAGGTGGAGGATTCAATGGATTTGTTAAAGAGTGTTGCAATGATTGGTGATAGCACTTGTGACACTTTTTTGTATATAAAGGGTGGTAAGGTATTTAAATCTCCTGCCTTGTTTTTAGTGCGTTGATAATAAGGGAGACTTCGTATGGTTAGTCGGAGCTAGGAACAGTGTGTTCGGGTAGTTGCCGGTGAGGTAGTCATTTGGTGGGGTATCTGAGCTTGGGATTTTATTGGCAAGGTTTTGTCCTATATAGGAGAAGAAATCATTGAGTCTGTTTGCTGTTTCTGTGGTGGGAGTTGGGTTCATCTGATTTTGCTAATTTTATTTCGCTATTTCGTGATATCTTTTTTGTTCCCAGAATTTCTGATAGGGTTTTCCAGGTCTTTTTTTATACCCACCTCGTAAGTTGGATAATCTGTATCTCATAATACAATTTTTTTTGCCCTTCTTATCAGGCTGGTTAGGATTGACGAGTAACGTTTTGTTTGGTCTCTGGTTATGTGACCCATTCTTTTACTGTTTTTCATATTGGTGTTTTGTAATTATGGATTTGAGAATGCTGGGTGTTAGCCAGGGACTGTTCAGTCTCTTAGCTGTCATCTGCTTAGTTTTTTTAGGGCAGTGTTTGTTATAGAGGTATTGAGTCTTTTTAGAAAATTATTAATACATTCGTCAATATCTGTATTGATTTCTAGCTCAGTGTGCCAGTCAATGTTTGCTACTGCTGTTGTGAAGTTATTAATGGCTGCCTCATTGTGAAGTCTGAAGGTGACTTTAGTAGTGTCTTGGGTAATTTACCAAGAGTTGTTTTGAGGAAAGTAGGGTAGTGGTCTGTGGTATTATCTGTAATTATGCCTGATTTTAAAGGGGATATGGTGTTGGTCCAGATGTGGTCAAGTAGGGAAACACTAGTCACTGTAACTCTTGTAGGTTTTGTTACTGTTGGTAGCAACATACAGTTACTCATTGTGTTTGTGAATTCAGTAACGTGTGGGTCCTGGTCTTGCAGGAGATTTATATTGAAGTCACCTGAGAGTAGTAAGTGATCTTTGTTCATGCGTGCATCAGTTATCATACTTCCTAGGTTTGACTAAATTGGCTAATGTTTGACTGTGGAACTCTGTAGATGTTTATCAATGTGAGAGGTTTTTGTAGGTAATTTGGATTTGAATTTGGCTATTATATATTCCCCATGTTCATCTCTTGTGCAAGTATTAGTGATACATTCTAGTTGGTCTGAGTAGTATATGCTGTGCCACCCCCTTGTTGTCTGGCCTACAGTTGTGTATGGCTGTGTAACCAGGAATGGCATAGACATCTGTACTATCAGGCTTTAGCCAGGTTTCAGTTAGTGTAATGATGGACATATTGGCATGTAAGGAATTTAGTAATGCTATGAGGTCATCGTAATGCTTGCTTAAAGATCTGATAATTTTAGTTAAAGATAGTTATGTTGTTGTTGGCACTGAGAAGTGCCTTTGATTGTTCTGCAGTGTAGTAATTACAGTAACTGTTTGATTCATTTAAGTCATTAAATAAGAGGTTGGTATCTGGGTCAATGCTTGTAATCATAAGATTTGTAGTGAATCTATAGTTAGAATTAAGTATAAAAACAAAGTAAATAGTCTTAAGCTAAAAAGTAGCACCTGAATTATTTAACAAATTAAAATAATGAGCTAAGGTAGTTTTTTTTTTTTTTTTTTTTTTAAGCTAAAATAAAGGAGACAATATAAAAGGGACTAGTACAAATAAAGTGATGATCAAATAATGGAGCTTGGGATATGATAGTAGGTAGTACTATAAAATAAATGAGCTTTGGAATATAATGGCAAAAATTGTGAACTTGTTCTAACTTTAGCACCTGAGAATAGCACCTTGATTATTTTAACAATTGTGAATGTATAAGCTAGGGTAGTTATATAAAGCTAAAATAAAGGAGAAAATATATAAGGGACTAAAATTAAGTAATGGTAAACAAAGTTAAATGGACAGATGGTCACTATGAAATAATATTGGTTTAGGAGTAAGATCTGATTTGTAATATTAGATAAATTGAGCAGTTTATTGCACAAAAGTAAAAAAAAATGAGGTAGTTGGTACTAGCTAGCAAAAGATAGTTTTGGTACTTGCAAAAAAGTAATTGGAATATACACTAATTGCATACACAATGTAAAGTGACTAAAAAAACAAGTAGTGATAAACAAAATTAAATGGACAGGTAAGAAAAAATGAATATTATTAATTTGGAGTAAGATTTGACTTTTAATTTAAAATTATGAGCAATTAATAGCAGTAAGAAAGTTATAGAGTATTGGAGGTAGTTGGCATTAGCTAGTGATGAAAAATAATAAAAATAATAATGTACAATATAATAGTAACGTACACTATATGCAGTAAGAAAGTTATAGAGTATTGGAGGTAGTTGGCATTAGCTAGTGATGAAAAATAATAAAAATAATAATGTACAATATAATAGTAACGTACACTATATGCACCACACGTATATATGTATTAAGGGCACTTATCTAATCTGTTACAGAAATGTCAGCTTTTCTAAGGAAGGTAGAGAAATCATGTTCGTTTGAGATGGTATATTGTTGTCCTGTTGATGTTTTCCTTACTAGTATTTTCCCATCTCGCGTGAAACACTGATGTATTTTGTTTTCCTGTTTAAGTTTTCTCAGCCTGAACAGAAGGTTTTGACGTTTTTTTGTTAGACACTCATTTATGTAATGCTCTGCATACAAGGGGCTTTGGCATGTTACACTTAACCACTGTATTTCTTTGTACTTCTATGTATCATATTCAAATAAATAAATAAATAAATAAAATAAAATACATACCTGTATCATTGGGCATAGAAATGTCTGCCATCTGACAGTTTTAATAATGAGTGTGTTATTTGCAGGAATAGCCACAATAACTTGTTTAAGTCGAATGATTCCAAACTTATCAAGGAAGACGATTTAGATAAATCCCATTGTTTAGAATTTGTAGTCATTTATCTTATCAGTGCAGGAGACTGGGGTTGCAGTGTTTCTAGAATTTTAGCTAAATAAATTTTAGGCCATCAGGACACAGCTGTCAAGTGATGTTGTTTATCATTTAATGTGCTCCGCCTATGCTACAGCTGATCTCCACTATGCAGAACCTCTGGTCACGCCCATAATTCGTTCCAAAACTCTGGTCGCGACCTGATTTGGTCGTGACCTGAACCTAATTTCCCCATTGGAGTGTACGTAAATACGATTAGTTCGTTCCAGCTCCCTACGAACTGTATGTAAATAATGTATTTTTTAAATAGTTAATTATACCATAGAATGCACAGTGTAATAGGAAACTAAATGTAAAAACCTTGAAAAACACTGAGAAAACCTTGAACAACAGAGAAATCTAACATTGCATGAGTCTGTTCTAGACCCCCTATGAACTTTTCGCTTTAAACAAATTTTTTTTTTAAGAGTTTTAAACACAGAAAAAATAATCAAAGTTTGAAAAATCCTTAAATTATACAAAATAATGCACAATTTAATAGAGAAAAATAACAAAGAAAAAACATACCATAAATAACCAAGAAAACAAAATAAATTTAAAAACTCACGAAATGCAACACAAGGAGTTAACAGCGGATGAACGCATGTCTGACCGAGACCAACTGCAAGGCAAGGGTCTTTGATAGGTGTACACAAGCGACAGGAAGTGGGAGAAATTGGCATGTGCAAAACAAAAAACAATGGGGCAGAATGTGAAAATTGGTGTGGTTGTGTTTGCTCGGCTCCCGGTTATGTGTTTGTGATCAGATGCAAAAATATGGCGAATTTTTTGGTCTTGAACCAATCTGTTCGTGTTCGGGAGAATTCATGACCAGAGGTTCCACTATATTTCCCTGTATTTGATGGGCAAATACAGTGTCTTTTTTATTTTTAAGCATGACTTGGAATGTTTCCAATGGTGTCTTTTTTTAGGTTCTTTCCCTTGAAGTGATTCACAACAATTGATTAACTCCTTTTGTTTGTGAGCAATATGCACAAATTTTTCTTTAACTCTTTTTCATTCTTAACTGGTGGGGGTCATCCTATTCTGCATATCTTGACTTGGAATTAGAATACAGTAAGTCTTAGACAGGGATGTGTGATGTCACCATAATTTTTTAATGTATTGAAAGATGGGAGTATCAAAGAACTGAATGAATGATTATATATTGGGAGAGGTGTGGGCTTAAGTAAATTTGATATAAAGTGAGAGTTATAAGAGAGTTGCTTATGACAGTGCTTTTGGGAAAATCTGAAATAAATTGCAAAGTTTGGTAAGGAGTTTGGGAGGGTGTGTAAATGAGAGAACTGAAAATGACTAGGAAAGGTGATAAAAAAAATTAGGTAATAAAAGATTAGGTGTCAAATTGAAGGGAAGGAGTATAGAAGAGGTGAATGCATTTACACATTTGGGAGTGGATGTGGCAGTAGATGGGCCTATAAAAGACATGGTGTATCATATACTGGATGAAAGGAAAGAAAGGGTAGGTGGTGCTGAGGTGACTGTGGAAAGAACATTAAAATATTTAATTTATTTTTTAATGACTATTTTTATTAATACATATAGTATTGTTACTAGATAAGGGATTTTGCTGCATGTCTTTCTTTTAGATACTTTAACTTTTATATTGTATTGTTCTTCTGCAGGTTTATAATGTGGGTGGTGCCATCCATCTATTGAATGTGCTCAAATGTGCGAAGTCGGAGTCTTTACAGCTGCGTGCCTGTAGGACTATGGCTAATCAGGCACAGCATCGACCCAGCTGCGATATATTTTTTAAGCTCAATGCTGTAGAGCTTGTCATTGAGATGTTAACGAAGTGCAAAGAAGATGAGACGAAGGTTACAGCCATTAGGGGCTTGAGGTACAGCATAGAAATTTTTTAGCCCGTTTTCATAGTGTGCTGTGTGTATAGCTTTTTATCTTGCTCCTATTTGTTTCCTGATTAAGAAAAAATGTATTCCAATGCTCATGATATTAATTAGTTAGATACTTATTGTAATTACTTAAATATAGTGGACCCTCAGTTAACGGCTGTAATCCGTTCCAGAAGGTCGGCCAAGAAAGACATTCCTGGCACTAAAAGGACATTTCCTCTGGTCATTAGTCACGTCTCAAGGCCCCTCTTATATTCTTTTGCTTTCCACTTTGAATTTTTATTCTCACAAAAAATATAAGATTTACTGTTATGCAGACTACTGCATTAGTGTAAAAAATGGTATAAATATTATTGGTGCACTTGTGAAAGAATATTAGACTCACCAGTTGACGTGTATTGCACACTTGGCACGATTTGTTTACTTTTGAAATTTGGTAAAAATCAAACATTTCTGCTACTTTGAGCTCAATTTCAAGGTACCTTTCATTGTAAAACCAGTCAAAATCATCTCAATTTCTGTAATATGTCTTCCATTCTATAAAATGAGACCAAGAAAACTAGAATACAACAATAAATACCATACAAAAATACAGTGCAAAGTCGCTGTTTTATTCCAAAAAATGGTCAAAGTTTTTTTTTTCTCATTATGCACTGTGTGCTGCAGGATTTTTTTTAGACTGTGCACACTGACCACATAGACCCATTCTTTCATATGAAGGCCTACCAGCTTTCTCCCACTAGATTTGAGGGCACTAGAATTTAGGCGTACTAGTACGTCAAAAACCCTGAGTCGTAAGCCGTACTAGTACGTCCGAAACCCTCAAAGGGTTAATGCCACTAGGACCAGCTTGAGTCACTGGACCTCTGTCTCACAACAAATCTTCTGGCATCTCATTAAGATTTCCCTGAAGTGGGACAGGGTTTTGTCACTGAACATGTTGCAGATATGGCTTGTTTCAGCTTGGTCAGGGTGGTATTTCTCTACAAAAGCTTGCACCCTAGTCCACATTGCACACACCTCTCTAATCTCTCTCATTTACTGCTATAGTGCATTCATTACTTACCTTTAAATATTTGTAGTCTTAATGTAGGGCAAGAGGTGAGTAGTATTTATTTGTAGGAAGTCAGTATAAGTAGTGGTAGATGTAGGTACAGTACACATATGTAGTCCCCCTCCCCCCCAGGCTACACTACACAGCTATATTATTATACTACACAGCCATATTATTACCATGTTCACTGAGTTTAATCGTTTCTAACAACTACTTTTAGATGCCATCATAAATAAAGGGAGATGTAATGAATAATTCATGCCGAGAATTGTAAACAAACACATATGAAGGGCAGTTACTGCACCAGTCGCCAGATTCACAGTTTTCTCTAATGCTGCATCAGAGAAAACGTAATGTTTACTCTCCATCCGACTCTCCACTCGATAACATATAAACATTGCATGTTTATATGCCATGTTTATATGCTACATGATATGTAATGTGTTTCTTATATAATTTTGAAGAAGATATCATAGATGGATTAACAAAAATGTCTATATTAATGTAAAATAAGACATTTAATGTGCCAAAGATTGATTATTAAATATACATTGCATATAATAAACATTGCATGTTTATATGCTATGTAATGTGTTTCTTATATAATTTTGAAGGAGATATCATAGATGAATAAATGAAAATGTCTATATTAAAGTAAAATAAGATATTTAATGTGCCAAAGAGTGATTATTAAATATACATTGCATATAATAAACATTGCATGTTTATATGCTATGTAATGTGTTTCTTATATAATTTTGAAGGAGATATCATAGATGGATTAACCCTTTCAGGGTCCAAGGCTAAAATCTGAAGTGGTGCCCCAGTGTCCAAGAAATTTTGAAAAAAAAACAATGATTTTTTCTTATAGAATTAAAGATAATATTTTTGTGAAGGTAATAAAACAAAAAAAAAAATTATGATCAGTACTTTCCGAGATACAGCGGCAGGAAGTTGACCCAAAATGACCGGGTGGCGGCAACATCAGTGACTTCCGCAAAATCGCATTTTTTTGTTTTACGTTTTTTATACTTTTTTCTTTTCTTTTCTATTTTTTTCTTTTTCTAGTAACTTTTGTGGCCTGTGAGACCAATATAATGTATATTGTATAAGTGTACACTCATTGTATTCAACACAATAACTGCACTAATTTGTTTATCATTATATTGCTTACAAAAGTTGTTTACAAGTTTATTGTAAACAAAATGATGAAAATATTAGTGCGGTTATTGTGTTGAATACAATGGTACCATATAGTACAATGGTGCCATAGGGTGCAATGGTACCATATGGTACAATGGTACCATATGTTACAATAGCATTATATGATACAATGGTACCATATGATACAATGGTACCATATGGTAGAATATGGTACAGTAGCACCATTTGGTACAGTGGTATCATATGATACAATTGTACCATATGGTGCAATGGTACCATATGGTGCAATGGTACAATATGGTACATTGTACCATACAGTACAATGACACCATATGGTCCATTGTACCATATGGTGCTATATGGTACTGTTGTATTCAACACACTAATATTTTCATCATTATTTTGTTTACAATAATTGTTTACAACAAAAATATGCAAAAATGTAGTACAGTGGACCCCATCTTTACGATCAGCTCCCAATGCGACCAATTATGTAAGTGTATTTATGTAAGTGCGTTTGTACATGTATGTTTGGGGGCCTGAAATCGACTAATCTAATTCACAATATTCCTTATGGGACTAAATTCGTTCAGTAATGGCACCTGAACATACTTCTGGAATGAAATAATATCGTATATTAGTAGTGTTCTATTATATATTTGCAAATGTACAGGAACTCAACACGTTACTTGAGGTGGATGACAGAGCGCTTTGTCTTGGAAACCGCTGAGTCAGTAGCTAGCTTGAGTCGCCACTCACTCAGTCTTGGCTGGTGCCTGCTGCCACCAACACATCCTATTGACCATATGGTACATGATGTCATATGTTACAGGGTACCATATGGTACTTTGTACTATATGGTATAGGGTACCATACAGTACAGGATAACATATGGTACAGGGTACCATATGGTACAGGGCACCATATGGTACAGGGCACCATATGGTACAGGGTACCATATGGTACAGGGTACCATATGGTCTTTCGAGCCACCGTGTTTGACGTATACATACTCATAAATTCATAGAATTGATGAGGGAAAAATGGTGAGTGGTGCGTTGAGGTATATGTGGAGTCAAAAAACATTATCTATGGAGGCAAAGAAGGGAATGTATGAAAGTATAGTAGTACCAACACTCGTATATGGATGTGAAGCTTGGGTGGTAAATGCAGCAGCGAGGAGACGGTTGGAGGCAGTGGAGATGTCCTGTCTAAGGGCAATGTGTGGTGTAAATATTATGCAGAAAACTCGGAGTGTGGAAATTAGGAGAAGGTGTGGAGTTAATAAAAGCATTAGTCAGAGGGCAGAAGAGGGGTTGTTGAGGTGGTTTGGTCATTTAGAGAGAATGGATCAAAGTAGAATGACATGGAAAGCATATAAATCTATAGGGGAAGGAAAGAGGGGTAGGGGTCGTCCTCGAAAGGGTTGGAAAGAGGGGGTAAAGGAGGTTTTGTGGGCGAGGGCTTGGACTTCCAGCAAGCGTGCATGAGCGTGTTAGATAGGAGTGAATGGAGATGAATGATACTTGGGACCTGACGATCTGTTGGAGTGTGAGCAGGGTAATATTTAGTGAAGGGATTCAGGGAAACCGGTTATTTTCATATAGTCGGACTTGAGTCCTGGAAATGGGAAGTACAATGCCTGCACTTTAAAGGAGGGGTTTGGGATATTGGCAGTTTGGAGGGATATGTTGTGTATCTTTATACATATATGCTTCTAAACTGTTGTATTCTGAGCACCTCTGCAAAAGCAGTGATAATGTGTGAGTGTGGTGAAAGTGTTGAATGATGATGAAAGTATTTTCTTTTTGGGGATTTTCTTTCTTTTTTGGGTCACCCTGCCTCGGTGGGAGACGACCGACTTGTTAAAAAAAAAAAAAAAAAAATCTAGTGCCTTCAAATCAAGCAGGAGAAAGCTGGTAGGCCCACATGTGAGAGAATGGGTCTGTGTGGTCAGTGTGCACCATATAAAAAAATCCTGCAGCATGCAGTGCATAATGAGAAAAAAAAAACTCTGACCCTTTTTTTTTTTAATTAAAATGCCGACTTTGTGGTCTATTTTCATATAGCATTTATGGTTGTATTCTCGTTTTCTTGGTCTCAGTTGATAGAATGGAAAACATATTATAGAAATAGAGATGATTTTGATTGGTTTTTCTATGAAAAGAACCTTGAAATGGAGCTCAAAGTAGGGGAAATGTTTGATTTTTGCCGATGTTCAAAAGTAAACAAATGATGTCATTTTCCAATAAATGTCCAAGTAGCCATTCTGATATGCAGTCATGAATGGGTTGACATTATTTATACAATTATTACAATATTGCAGTAGTCTGCATAACAGTAAATCTTGTATTTTTTATTTGAATAAAAATTCAAAATAGAAATTAAGAGTAATATCAGAGGGGCCTGGAGACATGAGTGAGGAACAAAGAAACGGTTATTTTAGAGCCAGGAATGTCTGCATTGTTCATTCTGGACCCTATTTTGAAATTGCCATATTTTTTTAATTTTCGTGAAATTGGCCAAATTGCAAATTTCTGACCACATTATTGGGTAGTTGATATCGGTAAATGAGCAGTTTCTTGTACTCAGTCGATAGAAAAAATGGAGTTCTAAAGAAATAGCTATGAGTTTGGTCAACTGGAACAACGGAATTAGCCGAAAATAGGGCTCAAAGTTGGAGAAATTGCCGATTCGTAAATATCGCTATGGTCGCTAACTTTGCGAGAGCATAATTTCTTCAGTTTTCCATCAAATTTTGCTTTTTTG